AATCGCTTTGGTGGTGATTCCGAGATGATTTGGGGTGGAATAACAGCACGCCAAAGAACTCCTTTGGTGATTGTTCAGGGCAACTTAACTGGTGTGGGCTACAGGGATCAGATTCTTCGACCTGTGGCAATTCCTTTTCTGCAACGTCATGGCCCTGGGTTAACAGTCCAACAGGACAATGCCCGCCCTCATACGGCAAGGGTTGCTATGGATTTCTTGCAACTACACAACGTTGACTTACTGCCTTGGCCTGCAAATTCACCGGATCTCTCCCCGATAGAGCATGTTTGGGACGAGATGGATCGACGTCTGCGCCATCTTCATCATCCGACAGATAACGTCCTTGGCCTTGCAACAGAACTTGAGAATCTGGCGTGACATCCAACAAGCCTTCCTTGCACGTGTGATAGGCTCTATGCGTCGTCGATGCACTGCTGTTCTCAATGCCGATGGTGGACATACCCGTAATTGAGCTTGTGACATGGTCGTTTGACCCCCTGTCCCGCTTGTGGACTCGTGACGTCATTGTGAATGACGTTTCAATTGAAATTCTCCCGACTTGTTATGGTCTCATGATCCCTCCATTAAAGTTTATATGTGCCTTTGACATTGTTATCGTACTTATCAACTGGGATAATATTTTGACAATGCACAGTTTCTTTATGTGGATAGTATATATGGCGGCGGTCCGTAAATAATTGATTCTGGACTAGACAGTCCAGTGATCAACAGCATGAGCATCGATCTGCGCAGTTGGGACCTGATGACATGTGTCAGCCAAACCAGCGAGCCTGACCACCCTTTCCCGTTAGTCGCCTCTTACGACAAGCATGGGTTACTGAAGGTTCATTCTAACCCGGACCTTCACGGGTATATACAATCAACAAATGCACAGTAGATGGTCTTGTTTGCAAGATTAGGCAATTCCATTCCGTGATTGTGGCCAGCACAAAAATGAGCGTGTTGACTCAACGATGTCATCAATCCACACATGTACCACATCCAGGGAATGGAAGGCGAATAATGCCCCGTTCGTGAGCTACTAACCACGCGTATGATTTTATTTATGTATGCCTAGTTGCACAGGTGTGTAAAGCGAGCGCATTTATGTGAATACATAAATGGCCAGATTAGCAGTGTTGATGCAGAAACAAATGTTCACTCCAATTAGTTTATAATTTCATGCACTAAAGATATTTGTTGTCAAAAGGTTATATTTTTATGTTGCAAAGTACAAAGTTCTAAAATAGTGTAGTAATTTTCATTGTAAAATTTAGTTCAGATGAGGTTCAGAAAGTCTAGCTTGGCTATAACTGTTATTAGTTTTCCAAAAAGTATTATCATGATTGTCATAACAGATTACTTCCCCTTATTGTGAGTGTTGCTCCTCATCAGAGCACATGGCTTGTCACTGCCTCCATGTTGGAGACATTCAGCTGTTTTAGTTGGCATGAACACAAATGTGAGTAGCATTGTTTGCTATTGTAATATATTTCAAGGCATAATAAGGTAATATTATTTGAAGGTTTTGTTAATTGTACATATTATTCATTTATCTTGTAACTGTTAATTTGAAGTAATTTACTTAGACTTGTCATGTAGTTTGACTGTTAGGAATAATTGAGTGTTAGGAATAATTTACTTAGCAAGTCTGTATTTCTGCTTTGTAGTTTTCTGAACCTCACCAAGCCAAAGAAAGAAGTCAAAGTGAAATTGAACATTGAACGTATACCAGAATAAATTATTGGTGCGAGTAAAGAATTTTTGTGTCTTGCATCCACAAGCAGTATAAGCAAACTTACATCCAGTGTATGGAAGGTGCACACATGTGCACGTGTATTTTGTCAATGTTAGTTGATTTTGTCACGTTTACAGCAACAGGAATTGTGTCATGTCTGTTTCCAAGTTTACGGTTTGTGGCTGTTATATCAGTTTGCGCTCAGTTGGAAGCTTACTGGGGTATAATGCACGTACATCAATGCCGATGAGAAGCAAACGACTAAGGGACTGTTCATAATGTATGGATAGGGGAGTGATGAGGATGTTTATGGAGAAGCATGTACAATGTGAATGGAACCACCCACCCACACACACCACCACCACCCCATCCCCCCACCACCCCCTCACACATACACACACCACCACCACCTCATCCCCCTCTCAGGCAGTATTTACAACCTCTGGCAAGGACAGTAATGTTTGTCGCTACTTGACCAGTTGAATTAAATATCACATTCGACACCAAAGGGTCGGAGAGGTAGGCTAGTTGGTACAATGTCGGAAGCCTATATCTGGAATCTCCAGCTGTGATATTAGTGGTATATTGTTAAACATTGCGGCATACAAAACCAACACACTCACTCGCTATTTGAAAGTGGCGATGAAATAGATGATCTAGATCATGCAGATAGTGCAGATAATGCATATGATCCTTTGAATAATGACGATGTATATGGCGAGATAAAACTGCCTATACCGAGCCTGTTGATAACAAACACCCTGTGAGACGAGCACTGGTACATGAAAGAGCCACAGAGAGGAATGGAAAGAAGGAGACTAGGACAGAGGAGAAAGCAACAAAACTCAACATTGAGTCTGAACTTATTGCTGTGATGAAGGGAATTGTAGTAAACAAGGGATGGAGCATGTTGAAGAAAACGGATAGGATGAAAGCAAAATTGAAAACAGAAACAGAAATTGCAACAGAAAGGGGATAATAAGGGGATAATATGTTTTATGAACTGTGTATGCAAACTCCCAAAAAAAAAAAAAACCCCCAAAAACAAAAAAACAAAACAAAAAACAACAAAAAACAACAATAAAAAAACACACACACAACCACCCCACCCTACCCCCTGATTACCAGACTTGGACTAGCCACAAATCTCTTATTAAAACTCTGGGTAGTCCCCATATATGCCATAACACCTACTCAAGGTTAGGACTTTTTATTCACCCATTCTGTTACAGAGTTGGTTTGAATTGAACAATTCTTGTGAGATATAATTAGACGCAAAATGTCCCATTCTCCTTAACTAACGTGACGGTTTTGTTGTGATATTAAAGCAGAAGTCCATAAATCCAGAAATACATTTTGAAAACTTTATGTAAAACCTTAATAAGGCGACCGTTCAATGAGCTTTACACCTGGTAAGAAGTTTGTAGTTACTTTTGCTATCTATATATCAGCTTGGGTTTTGCATTCTATGTGAGATGAGTGAGTGAGTTTAGTTGTACTCCGCACACAGCAATATTCCAGCTATATGGCGGCAGTCTGTAAATAATCGAGTCTGGACCAGTCAATCCAGTGATCAACAGCATGAGCATCGATCTGCGCAATTGGAAACCGATGACATGTGTCAACCAAGCCAGCGAGCCTGACCACTCGATCCCGTTAGTCGCTTCATACGACAAGCATGAGTTACTGAAGGCACATTCTAACCCGGACCTTCACGGGTGCTGTGTGAGATTAGATTGACCGAATGCCCTGCAATGAAATCGACTGTATAAAGGATGTAATACTGTACGCACACATGGTACATGGGTCAGGTTATAGATGTGCATGTTTACATTTTAAAATACAACACATACAGCAAATGACATTGTAATGATAACATTTCATCATCATCATCAGTTCAGACAGCAAACTGACATGAGTGTATTTCATATAAAAAGGCCTCATGGCCCACAGTACAAAAAATACATAATTGTTTGTTTGTGCGCATACAATACATATACATAAATATAATGCATCAATATATAGCAGTCCAACAGGTAGATTTCTCTTCGGGTAGATTGCTAGGCTTTTAATAACGTTGGTGCATAGCAACTGCTTGAACTAAAATACAGATGGATTTATATGATAATAGCTAGGAATAAACTGCATCCACTTGCATGGTAGTAAGGACATACAAATAGAAAGTGGTATTCGTCTTCTACGACACTTGATACATATTGCTATAGTATTATCTTCTCTGTCTTTATTGAAACGCAACTGTTGGACACCCAATTTTGCGATAAGCAACGAAATTTACATAAAATACGCCTCAAGTCTTTAATAGTGTTCAACGCAGTTATATACATTTCTGTTTCTAAGAGTGACTTGTACGATGAATAAACTTTAAGAAAGGAACTACTACCGATATCACTGTACCAATATCACTGCTCCAAGTTGGGAAACAGATATCCTTGCAGCGTTGCTTAAAAGTTGCAATAAATACATCTACGTCGCCAAAGTCCACACAAAAGAGATTCCAAATTTACACAATAGTTGAAGAACATGAGAGACCCAGCTGACATTTACATTCTCATCAAAGACTTTAAGCATTTCATAACAAGTCCGAGGATACCTATGGCTACTCATCCTTACGCGTCTACTCCAGTACCTGTATATGAACCATGAACATCACCAGATTGCCTGCCATTTACAATATGTATGCCCCAGAAAGTGTTGAGTGCATTTAGGATGTGAGAAGGTGTCAACAAGGTTTATGCCATGCAAAGGAAGAACGTCAATATCTTGGCTTTACTCCAGAATATAATCATCTCCATTACCAACCCTGACATTTCGGTCACCTACTATACAGAGTTCCAAGTCCATGCCATACTCCTGCTTAAGACAGGCTAGCTTAAAGGCCCAGTTCCTCAATACTGTCTGCCGCTGGGTCAACATATAGAGGGGACTCCGGCTGGATATAAACAAAACCAAGAACAAAGGGATTGATATTATAGTTCACAACACACTGTTCTCCAATTCTGCGTGAATTGTCAAGGCAGAGGCATTGTCAAACTGTATGTATGCAGCAACACCACCTCCTGAGTATCTACCGGAGCGTTTTACCCTTCGTGATGGAAAGCATATTTAATTGTCAAATAAGTGGTTTCAATGAAAGCAAACACTTCAAACTGTTTACAGAACAATAAAACATCAAGGTAATTTAGGTGCAAGTGAATCCCTTGGATGTTTCACGAACATATGTTTAGAACTAGACATTGCTTACTCGCGTCCTGCTCAATGAGTCCCTTGTACTCAAAAACCCGCATATCGTCTTCAAAACCATGGCTGCGTCTCTTTGGCGAGTTCCTCTTGTTCTGATTCTTTTTCGGATCTTGCGTGATGGCACCGGGAACCGCCACCACTGCAACCGGAAGGATTTCCACTAACACCTGCCGAACGTGTCACAACTGCTTCGGACACTCACCGTCTGGCACATACGCCCGGTTTCCTATAAGAAGCTTATCAAAGGACAAGCAGGCTGTTTTACCCTCTTCACAAGCCCGGGTCACATGAGGAATGAGTGCAGCTCTAACTTCTTGTCCTAAAGCTCTGAAATTTCACGATAATTGGTTTGCTCTATTTATTGCCGAAATGGTAAGCTCGATCGATTTGCATTTCTGATTGATTGTCAGTTTTTTAGTGTATCGCTCAGAAAAGATCTCACCACACTTTCTGTTTCCGCCCTGGACTCAGATGATGTCAAACTAAGACTGTTTGTTACAATGTTTTTTCTTCTACTCTGGTATATCATTGTATCAACTATTTCTTCTATTAATTCTATGCTTACTATTTTACCTTTTCAGACCATCATGTTCTATTTGAACTCATCTCTCAAACAGTCGAATTTATCATTTAGTTGTTTCATTGCTAACAGATGCCTTTCAAAAGGCCAACGGTGTTCTCATCGTAATATGTGTCCAGTTCACAGTTATCGGAGACCGCATAATCTCTGCATGTTAAGGTAGACTGACGGGTCGTTTTACCGGATTGTGAGGCTCCTCCTCTAGCCCGGGATCCCAGGTTCGACTCCACGTCTGAGCACAGCTCTAACCATCTTGGCAGAAAGGGGGTCTAACGATAGTCACCATTTCCCGCAAAGCCACAAATGCACTAGCGCTGACCACTACAGTTACTGACTGTGTTATGCCGAACGGGTAGGCTACCACCCTGTCCCGCAGCCAAGGTTGAGGTACAGCCATATTTTAAATTGGCGATTAAAGAGTTTCCCAGTTGTGATTAAATTAATCACCTTAAATGACAGTTTGCGACTTCGGGGTAGAAAGCTGCCAATACGACACCACCACGAGTCGATCTCATGTTCTAAACAAAACATGATTTTCTCTCTTTGAAAACACAGTCCTCCACAATGTCTACGAAACACACATGATAAGAACATCAGATAGGAAAAATATACGTTTTGGTCCCAACTTTGCTATCCCACGTATCCCTGGCATAACTGTTAGTAATTCATAAAAATATAAAATAGAATTAGTTCATGCCCATCATACAAACTTATTCTCTGGCATGCAAAGATTATTCCACTCGGAATGTCAACGGAAGGTTCTGTTATTCGCCTGGAAGTCAAAATATCCCGTTAGAACAGTTGACCTTAAGCTCCTAACGACCCCTTGACATCATTGGCGAGTACCATTACTCGGGCATGTTTTGCAAATTATGGAAAAATTATAATCTACTTGATATTTCCCATGTCTCATCAAAGACCAGACATACTGGGCACCACAGGTCATTATGAACAGTTCCAATTATACCACTTCCTAGAACCAGGCAGATGGTCACTTACAACACTTCAAATGTAGTGAACGCACTTCCATCCCAGAATAACCAATGGCTCGTCGATATAATATATAATTCTCAGTAGGACCGGACAAAGTCTCATTTAGATTAGACAGTCAAAATAATGAGACAATATTGTTGTGGACAAATATAAGATTAATGACACAATTCGCATCCCATCATTCAGTCCCATAGGCTTCTCACGAACCTTTGTCGTTGCCATAATTTTATTGTTTAGTCCCAGACAACAAACGATTGCTGATCTCTGCATTGCTGTCTTCTTTTAAAATGTTAGTGTTCTGTTCTGGTAACAAATGGTGCTCATTTTCAGTTCTGTGATCAGAGTCGACACATCCGTCACTGCCTACATGCATACTGGTAGCGGCGTTGATAGGGAGGCCAGCCCGGCTTTTGAATACTGGGATAGCGAAGGATAGAGCGCTAGCAAGCACAAGTGTACCACCTGCAAACAGTGTCAACAATTGAGGGCTTAGACAGAGCAAGTATCTCTGCTACAGGCTCACGTAAACATAATTGTTTTATATCCAATTGCATACAATACTTTTCGTTGTTTACCATTATGCATATTATCAAGAAGTGAGATGAGGTTGTCTGTCCCACCAATCCATTATTAAAGCTCAGCAGCTAGCACCAACACTTAAAAGCCCTCGTTAAACATATTGGACTGACGTAGGTACCCTTCTACTCTGGTATCCCCAGTCACTATATGGACGCTCCATTAGGTATATTATCAACCCCATTTAGCAAACTCAGCGTGACATATATATATATGAGCTACTGTACGCTCGGTATTCTCATCACTTTCTCGGTATTCTCATCATTTTCTATATATATATATACATATATTATCAACCCCATTTAGCAAACTCAGCGTGACATATATATATATATATATATATATATATATATATAATATATATATATATATATATATATATATATATATATATGTGGCATGGTGCACAAGACATGATAGGTTTCACTGTATAATATCGTACAAACCTGCGAGAAAATAGCATAAATCATAGTCTCCAGTTGCCTCCAGCAACAATCCTACAAAAGAAGAAAAATTACATTTGAGAGGGCCATGCTGATGTATATTACTCAAAGTTTGCTACGGTTGACGTTTTGATGAATAATTATCCAACAAATATAAGTATCTCAGTATACAATGATTAACCCCTATAAGACCTCAAGGACAAAATAACATTTGTTATTCACGATTGCACAAGTGAATGTACTTATGTACCTTCAACGTCAAACTTGATTACCAGATAATGTGGAGATACACAGGCATGCTTGAAACTTAACGTTGCAAATCGTTAGAGTTTCATAAAATGTGCTACCTGAAGGGCTCGGTGTCATATTAGACGTTTGGATCATCTACCCTGTGACATGCAGGTGGACGACAGCGTTCCACCACTCAGCCCGTTGACAGTTTCTCATGATTGCAGCAAGACGTCATCAAATTCATGTTCACGCATCTTGTCATTTATGGTATTTGTTAATTTGTTGTTAACTCAGCGATATTCAGTCACATGACGGCATTCGGTGAACATTCGAGTGTTGGCCATACAATCCTGTGACTGACTTCATGAACATTTATCTACGAAACGGGCCTGTTATGACATGCATCAACCAAGACAGTGTGTCGGTAAGTGCCTCTTCTTACGACAAACATTGTTTGCTGAAGACGTCTAACCCGGGTCGTCATAGGTGTATATAATTTTAAAGAATCTCAACATTATTTTATGGAATGTTCTTTGTATTCTGTTATCAGACAGGAAATGTTTCAAAATATTTGCAGAATTTGTAACATGAAAGCACCAACAAACCTAGACGTACTATTAAATGGCAGTGCAGATCTTCCGTATAGTGACAATATTCACATTTTTAAAGAAGTTCAAAAATATATATCAAATTCCAAAAGGTTCAGTGATCAGATATAATGTGTATGATCTAAATAATTCATGTATTCATTGTATTGTATATATCATTTTGTATATATCTTTCTATCCCTGTACATATAGTTTGTTTCACTTTTGCATGTAAGCACTGTAAATAGGAGAGGGTTTCACTAAGTTGGCATAACTTGTACCCAATCCATTCTCTTGAATAAATATGTTTAAATCAAATCAAAGAATCTTTCTTCATCACTTGAATGTGTGGTATACTTCCATGGGGCAGATCACACATTTTTGTGTTTCTCATCGCCCGACCGACCCTTCTAATGTTATTGCCGACCCCCGAAAAAAACCCTTTGTTTCATTCCAACACCACCGACACCAACGAACCGTCATGTAAAGAAGTCCAAAGAATGCGAGAAATTGTAATACGAATTACAATATATGAGAATCAAGAACATTATTCAGATAATTTTACCATAATCAAGTTTTTTTGGTTTTTGTTGTAGTTTTTTCGACTGATCAACCCATGTTCAGAAATTGGTGGCTCCATGAAACACATAAAACAAATCTTGCCCATATTGACGTCAGTCGTATTATTTCCGTCACATATCTAAAAACTACTACTAATTTCACACAGTTCATTTCAGTGACTGAAGGATTGATGTAAATCCAGCTAGGGTCCATGCAGGTAGCAAAGGTACTATAGGTCCCCGTGGTCCCTCGTATGGTGTTCTGGGGCGGTGGAGTAGCCTAGTGGTTCAAACGTTCGCTCGTCACGCCGAAGACCAGGGTTCGATTCCCCACATGGGCATAATACGTGAAGCCCATTTTTGGTATCCCCCGCCGTGATATTGCTGGAATATTGCTAAAAGCGGTGTAAAACTAAACTCAATCAGTCAGTCGTATGGTGATCTACCTTCATTGCTGGTAACCTATAGCCCGGTTTCTATATTGAATTGTCCTGCATTGTAACAAATGTTTTAATGCTTACATGCTAGTTTTAAAATTTCTATCTGTAATAACCTAGTTGTTTTACTGTCCATTGTTGACATATTTTACTAAAATAACTTATTTGTTATTTAAATATATACAGTATATATTGTTATAGTCACGATATGGCTGCAATATTGCCGATGTGACTTTAAGTCTTCACTCACTCACTCACACAATTCATTTCTACTTGCCTGCAAATGGAGGTCCTAAAAGGAGTCCAACTCCAGCAAACATGTTATTCAGCCCATACCCGGCCGCTAGACGTTTTACACCAAGAAGATCTACTAAAATGGGATTGAGCAGAGCCATTGGACCTCCTGAATACAGTCCGTAAAGTAGACACGCTATGATCTGTAGTTTGAATGTACTGGAAAATACAGGAATCAGAATCACATTGACACCAGCTAAACCCAACATCCCCGTATGTAGAAGCATGGTTCCAATGTTAGGGTCATTTCCGGCTAGCCCTGTCAGTATCCGGGCTATGGTGCTGCTTACGCCCATCGCAGTAAATAACATGGCGGCATTTTGTGGCGATGTTCCCTTAGACTGAACATAATTTGGCAGGTGAACTTGGAATGCTGATTCTCCAAAAGACCATAGGGTATATGATAACACATAAAACATAAATCCAAAGTGGGACAATAGATCACAGAATTCGCTTAGAATATTTCTCAGCCTTTTCAAAGCCTTGCATTTCGGTCCTCTCTCAGGAGTAATTTGGATGGATATATCGGTCCTCGTAGTCTGGTGCTTCGGAGGTCTCATGAGCATTCCACCAGCACAAGCGTGAGATCCTATAGCACCCAGCAGGAGGAACATGCCACTCAACCCATAGGTATCAAAGAGGAATCGCACGAGAGGAGCTCCAACCAGCATGCCAAACCCAGCCCCTGACACCAGAATCCCAGCAGCCAGTGGTCGAAGCTTTTCAAAATAATACCCCACAGCTACAGATGCTGCTGTTGATATGCATCCGATCCCAAAACCTGAAACAAATTACAAAATTACCAGGTTTTTCCCCAAGTCTCAATATCATCGTACGGTATTAAATGAGAAAAACTACCTCCGAGCTCGCCAAGGTGACTATTATTGTACAATACCGTACATTGCGATCTTTATGAGAATGTTTTCCTACGGGGGATCTATAAATCATTGCAAATGTTACAAAAACAACAACTGAACACTTAGGGTATATCCTGGATCACATCGTTCTTAATCATTTAATTCAATATGGAAGAGGCAATGACTTGCCAACTTTCCCGTATTATAAAACACAACACTCCACATGCTACATTGTGCAACGGTTTCAAGGTGTATTTAAATCGAAACTTAGGATGCGGAAATTGTTCATTGAAATAATTCAAACATGTACCGTGCATTAAGTATATACTGACATGGGAGCGAGACGTCAAGCGATACGCTCTGTTCTGCTTACACGCCACCGTCAGGCATGCTCATTCAGCCTTGTAGTCAGCATCTGAGATTCAGAAGACAAGACTGGGCCAGTATACTGTTCTGCTTACACGCCACCGTCAGGCATGCTCATTCAGCCTCGTGCAGTCAGCATCTGAGATTCAGAAGACAAGACTGGGCCAGTATACTGTTCTGCTTACACGCCACCGTCAGGCATGCTCATTCAGCCCCGTGCAGTCAGCATCTGAGATTCAGAAGACAAGACTGGGTCAGTATACTGTTCTGCTCTGACTGCCGTGCAAGAGTCAGCAGGTGTCCACGGGACCGCTTTTGCGACGCTTGCACTATTCAACGCTGTCCGTTTTGAGGTGGATGTAAGAACGCCAGCGGGAAGATATTGATTCGAGATCGCATTATATCCTAGGCCTCTGTGCAAATGCAGGTGTGTAACGGCACATTGCAGCGGGATAATACCCATCCACACATTGCACTTGTTGACGTTTGGGGACAGCTGTACATTGCTAATGGTCGGTTGTTCCTCTTGACCTTTCGCCTACTAAACATGGGATGAGATGGGTAGAGGTCTACGACAGGACCAGAAACAGGCGGTAACGCGTTCTTAGTTGAGCCAACCTGTTAAAACATTTTTAAAGGTCACATGCAACCAAAAAAGCAAACATAATGAAAACACAATTATCACTTATTCATGACATATAATATACATTGCTGGTTATGAAAAAACACATAAACAAAATTATAAGCGTACAATCGGAAATCAAAAGTGCAATATTGTGTACTTGGGTTTACTTCCCAAGAAACGAAGCAGCCGGGATACCGAACCCAGTCAGAGCGGGTGGGTGTGCACTCAAGTGTAACGGCTGGTTCATTTGCAGACGCCCTCACGGCTCATGTGTGTGTATATATAGAGTTTTGTAAATACTAGTACATGCTCATTTTTTGTGTATAACATTTTGCAATCAACAGACATCATAACATGTCATGTGTTTAAGTATCACACCTGCCTGTCTGTGTAATTACATAATGTGACAGAGACCGAACTCGGGCCATAAATCAATGTGTTTTGTTTATGGTGTATAGCCTGATTGGTGTTAAGTTCAAATTGCATGTGGTCAGTGATCGCAGTTGTGTATTGAATATTGTCATTAGCAGACAGGCAGGCAGACACACAGGTGTCAATAAAACAAGACATTGAGTTTTGTCTGTGACAACGACATATCTATATCACAGTTAGAAATTCTGTCAACGCTAAATAATGACATTGCTTTTAAGTATCGAACTGAGAAAGTGACTCGGTAAGAAGAACGTGTGGTGAAATAGACAAATGAAATTATATACACAGCCCGCTACCAAGTTGCGCGAACCTATTTCACTGCGCACGTGCTATGAGCGAAGCCCAGCTGTTGAAACCAGTTTTCCCCCCGAAAATTTCCGGGGGGAAAATTAGTGAATCGTTTGAACTCCGATTTCGCGCGGTTTTTTTCATCGCGTTATTTTTCAACTTTATAAGTTGAATTTGCATTTTTCATGATTTGTTTCGGTAAGGCCATACCGAAAGGTATCAGAATCTGCAAAGTTGTGTTTTACGTTGCATGTGACCTTTAACATAATTGTTAACATTTGTATCAATATCACCCAGGCTGTTTTCAACTTTCTTGTGTCTCAATTCGCTGCTTCAGGGCAAATGGTAGTCACACCCGATATTGACTGATTTGTTAGAGGGCGTGGCTTTTCGTCTCCTGTATGCGATTTGTAAATGAATTCTTATGACAAATTCATAGATATGACGAAAGACCAAATATTTTGTTATTTTGAAAAACATAACATTTACATCACTGTATTTCAAGCAGAGTTGCTCTTTCAGATTAGAATAGATTACCGCTAAAGGGAATTGACAGTATACTCACGTACATCTGAGTGCTATTTTTCAACTCCTGCAATAACTCTGAGCAGGAGCATTACGAATGTACTGGCAAAACGACTCAAATTGAACGACATTCTGATGACACTTATTACGAAATGAAATCATATTTGTGTTGTTTTCAGTTTCGCCTTCTACTTTGGGGTTGTACTTCAGCCCATTACCCAGTATTTTGAAACTGAGTGTATTCTCCTGAGTGTATTTCAAATATAAATTTACTACTATCGGCGAAACGTGTACAGTCGCTTATGGTGTTTACCATAATATGACCAGCCCATGTTAGTGAGATAACCTACATTTGAAGTGGTTTACCCTCAGTTTCAATATTCAGGCGTCGCGCGGATACCTTTATGCAAATCACTGGATTTGAATATGGAATAAACCATTTTATACCCACAGTGACATTTACTTGTCATGTAACGCACGTGCATGGCATAAATCAAATGTTGTGGGTAGCATATCCACCGATGACCTTCATTGGTACACTGTTTTCAGGAGTATGGCGTGGGTAGCATATCTCGTCACCTTCAGTGTTACACTGTTTTCAGGAGTATGTCGTGGATGGCATATCTCGTCACCTCCACTGTTACACTGTTTTCAGGAGTGTGTCGTGGGTAGCATATCTCGTCACCTTCAGTGTTACACTGTTTTCAGGAGTGTGTCGTGGGTAGCATATCTCGTCACCTTCAGTGTTACACTGTTTTCAGGAGTGTGTCGTGGGTAGCATATCTCGTCACCTCCAGTGTTACACTGTTTTCAGAAGTGCGGCGTGGATAGCATATCTCATCTCCTCCAGTGTTACACTGTTTTCAGGAGTGTGTCGTGGGTAGCATATCTCGTCACCTTCAGTGTTACACTGTTTTCAGGAGTGTGTCGTGGATGGCATATCTCGTCACCTTCAGTGTTACACTGTTTTCAGGAGTATGTCGTGGATAGCATATCTCGTCACCTTCATTGTTACACTGTTTTCAGGAGTGTGTCGTGGGTAGCATATCTCGTCACCTCCAGTGTTACACTGTTTTCAGGAGTGTGTCGTGGATGGCATATCTCGTCACCTTCAGTGTTACACTGTTTTCAGGAGTGTGTCGTGGGTAGCATATCTCGTCACCTTCAGTGTTACACTGTTTTCAGGAGTGTGTCGTGGGTAGCATATCTCGTCACCTCCAGTGTTACACTGTTTTCAGGAGTGTGTCGTGGATGGCATATGTCGTCACCTTCAGTGTTACACTGTTTTCAGGAGTGTGTCGTGGGTAGCATATCTCGTCACCTTCAGTGTTACACTGTTTTCAGGAGTGTGTCGTGGATGGCATATCTCGTCACCTTTAGTGTTACACTGTTTTCAGGAGTGTGTCGTGGATGGCATATCTCGTCTCCTCCAGTGTAACACTGTTTTCAGGAGTCTGTCGTGGGTAGCATATCTCGTCACCTTCAGTGTTACACTGTTTTCAGGAGCGTGTCGTGGATGGCATATCTCGTCACCTTCAGTATAACACTGTTTTCAGGAGTATGTCGTGGATGGCATATCTCGTCACCTTCAGTGTTACACTGTTTTCAGGAGTGTGGCGTCGATAGCATTTCTCGTCACCTTCAGTGTTACACTGTTTTCAGGAGTATGTCGTGGATGGCATATCTCGTCACCTTTAGTGTTACACTGTTTTCAGGAGTATGTCGTGGATAGCATATCTCGTCACCTTCAGTGTTACACTGTTTTCAGGAGTGTGTCGTGGATGGCATATCTCGTCTCCTCCAGTGTAACACTGTTTTCAGGAGTCTGTCGTGGGTAGCATATCTCGTCACCTTCAGTGTTACACTGTTTTCAGGAGCGTGTCGTGGATGGCATATCTCGTCACCTTCAGTATAACACTGTTTTCAGGAGTATGTCGTGGATGGCATATCTCGTCACCTTCAGTGTTACACTGTTTTCAGGAGTGTGGCGTCGATAGCATTTCTCGTCACCTTCAGTGTTACACTGTTTTCAGGAGTATGTTGTGGATGGCATATCTCGTCACCTTTAGTGTTACACTGTTTTCAGGAGTGTGTCGTGGATGGCATATCTCGTCACCTCCAGTGTTACACTGTTTTCAGGAGTGTGTCGTGGGTAGCATATCTCGCCACCTTCAGTGGAACACTGTTTTCAGGAGTGTGTCGTGGGTAGCATATCTCATCACCTTCAGTGTTACACTGTTTTCAGGAGTGTGTCGTGGGTAGCATATCTCGCCACCTTCAGTGGAACACTGTTTTCAGGAGTGTGTCGTGGGTAGCATATCTCATCACCTTCAGTGTTACACTGTTTTCAGGAGTGTGTCGTGGGTAGCATATGTCGCCACCTTCAGTGGAACACTGTTTTCAGGAGTGTGTCGTGGGTAGCATATCTCGTCACCTTCAGTGTTACACTGTTTTCAGGAGTGTGTCGTGGATGGCATATCTCGTCACCTTCAGTGTTACACTGTTTTCAGGAGTATGTCGTGGATGGCATATCTCGTCACCTTCAGTGTTACACTGTTTTCAGGAGTGTGTCGTGGATGGCATATCTCGTCACCTCCAGTGTTACACTGTTTTCAGGAGTATGTTGTGGGTAGCATATCTCGTCACCTTCAGTGTTACACTGTTTTCAGGAGTGTGTCGTGGGTAGCATATCTCGTCGACTTCAGTGGAACACTGTTTTCAGGAGTGTGTCGTGGGTAGCATATCTCGTCACCTTCAGTGGAACACTGTTTTCAGGAGTGTGTCATGGATAGCATATCTCGTCACCTTCAGTGTTACACTGTTTTCAGGAGTGTGGCGTCGATAGCATTTCTCGTCACTTTCAGTGTTACACTGTTTTCAGGAGTATGTTGTGGATGGCATATCTCCTCACCTTTAGTGTTACACTGTTTTCAGGAGTATGTCGTGGATGGCATATCTCGTCACCTTCAGTGTTACACTGTTTTCAGGAGTGTGTCGTGGATGGCATATCTCGTCACCTCCAGTGTTACACTGTTTTCAGGAGTATGTTGTGGGTAGCATATCTCGTCACCTTCAGTGTTACACTGTTTTCAGGAGTGTGTCGTGGGTAGCATATCTCGTCGACTTCAGTGGAACACTGTTTTCAGGAGTGTGTCGTGGGTAGCATATCTCGTCACCTTCAGTGGAACACTGTTTTCAGGAGTGTGTCATGGATAGCATATCTCGTCACCTTCAGTGTTACACTGTTTTCAGGAGTGTGGCGTCGATAGCATTTCTCGTCACTTTCAGTGTTACACTGTTTTCAGGAGTATGTTGTGGATGGCATATCTCCTCACCTTTAGTGTTACACTGTTTTCAGGAGTGTGTCGTGGATGGGATATCTCGTCACCTCCAGTGTTACACTGTTTTCAGGAGTGTGTCGTGAGTAGCATATCTCGCCACCTTCAGTGGAACACTGTTTTCAGGAGTATGTCGTCGGTAGCATATCTCGTCACCTTCAGTGTTACACTGTTTTCAGGAGTGTGTCGTGGGTAGCATATCTCGTCACCTTCAGTGGAACACTGTTTTCAGGAGTGTGTCGTGAGTAGCATATCTCGTCACCTTCAGTGGAACACTGTTTTCAGGAGTGTGGCGACGATGGCATATCTCGTCACCTTCAGTGTTACACGTTCCACAGTTTTTGCAATGTCGTCCAGCTTTTCAGTTTGATAAATGCAACCAATCAATAATTAATTTCCTCTTCAACTGCTGATGACATTGTTGACATTCTCTGACCTAATGCTAACGTTTGACAGCGTCAACGATGACACTGTGTGTAAGAAAACAACAACAACAAACGGCACACAACAGAGATAACCGTCCCGCGTCATACAACATTTAAAAAACACATATCCAACTTTCTCTACCGCATTAAGGTCATATTGAAATTGTGAAAAGATTTTATAAACAGAACAGAAGCTGTTGGGAAAATCATATCATTAAAACAACACTTGATCACATGTACATCAATGTTTGATAGCATGTCCATAAAAGTATCACATACCTACGCAGATTCCGTATGATGATATAAGAGAATCAACATTCCTTGAAAAATACGCAGCCGTCAGACCAACAAATATAAAGAGTCCACCAATGACCGTTGTCTTCCGGCATCCGATGGCCTTCGTGATGCCCCCCGACACTGGACCTGGAAGAAGAATCCAGCTACAACTACATACATTATTATAACACAAGTAATGCAAACTTTGTGAGCGTTATCTGGTATCACTGAATTCCCTTTTAGAACGTATTAGTTTAACGATGACCATGACGATCGGTTATGCTACCTGGGGTGAGATAAATACTGACAGACCAGAAGCAAACATTGCCTAATGAGCTAAAGCTGCGTTGCCACACCTGTCAGTGTAAGCGTCCCAAGCAGAATGGATCCCACCCATGACGTCTTGACGACGCCCTCCTGCATCTGATCGAGTACGGCGGTATTGACCACTCCAGTGGAATAGTACAACATTCCACAAACCACATTAGATAGATATCCACAGCCCAGAATCACCCAGGCATACCCACGATCAGGGGATCGGGTAGACGATGACTCGGCCATGGTATACTTCCAGGATCACAATATTAAGCCTCATGTGTGTCCGGACGTGTCGGATCTGTCAGAACGAAAACATGAAACGTCAGTGAACTTTGAATGTACAAGTGCACACCTGATGATCATGCGCGCATACAGTATGGCATCAAGTGAGGTAAAGTCTAAAGTGCTCTACCACTAAGCAGTAACACCTGCTGAACTAACATACATATTCAACTCTTCATCGATAAGGTTAACCTGTCAGAGCAGGGACTGCCACAAGTCAAACTTTTGAAAGGCACCTCTGTACAGGTCGTGAAGAAGTTCGCATATACCCTACTTACATGCAGATAGTAGATGACATAAAGATATGCCGTATTATCTATAAAGGACGGAGAGATATGCCACTTTATCTTGAAAACGGTGGACAATGCTCTACTGACTACAACGAAATATCACTGGAGTAAGACGTGTGGAGGACACAACATCTGAATGTACAGAGGAAACAGCATAGGCATGTATAGAGGACACAACATAGACATGTACAGAGGACACAACACAGACGAGTACAGAGGACACAACATAAACATGTATAGAGGACACAACACAGACGAGTACAGAGGACACAACATAAACATGCATAGAGGACACAACATAGACGAGTACAGAGGACACAACATAGACATGTACAGAGCACACAACATAGGCAGGTACAGAGGACACAACATAGACATGAATAGGAACACAGCATAGGCATGAACCGAGGACACAAACATAGACATGTATAGAGGACACAACATAAACATGTATAGAGCACACAACACAGACGAGTACAGAGGACACAACATAGACATGTATAGAGGACACAAAATAGACATGTACAGAGAACACAACATAGGCATGTATAGAGGGCACAACATAGCCATGGATGAGGATGCAACATAGGCATGTACAGAGGACAAAACATAGACATGTACAGAGGACACAACATAAACATTACAGAGGATACAACATAGGCATGTACCGAGGACACAACATAGGCATGTATAGAGGACACAACATAGACATGTATAGAGGACACAACATAGGCATGTACCGAGGGTACAACATAGGCATGTATAGAGACCCCCAAAATGGTGAAAATGTGGTGCAGTTCTGGCGACCGAATGCATATGGATGCGATTTTTCACAATCAGGAATGATTAAGCTTTGATTTTAAGCCGGTTGTCATCAACTACCATGCGTGACTACCGCGCAGGGGGCCCTTTAAGGTGCAACATTTCATTTTTCAGTTACGGTAATATTTTAACCGATAACTGGATCCTTTAATTCACTAACTTTGGTTTGGTATGACCGATTTCCATCAAATAAGTAGTTTTGGAATGCCCAGATCATGATTTATAATTGTGGACAATAACAATTATATATTCGTGGTTGCAAAATTTCTTTGGTAAGGTCAAAGGTCAGTTTTATAGAAAATGCATTTGATGAGAATAATATGAGAAAAACTTGACAAATTATAGGTAATTCTGCTAAAATATGTTTTTTCTGGATTCATCATATATCATTTGAAGATCATATAAACGTTTGGTTGGCAATGTATGCATGATAAACCATTACAAGGAAACAAAAGTTGGTACTTTCTATTTAGACCAGCAAAATATTACACAATGCCTGTTCAACAGTAACAGCTCCATGCTTTACAAATTTTCAACAATACCAAATATGTCGAAGATACTGTTGAACTATCATTAAAATCACACAATATAACAGAAAGCTCTCAAATGTATAATTCTGAAGAAAAACCAAGAACAAAGCCAAATCATATATTGAGTATGATAAAAAAGAATAAAGAAAAAGAACAATGAATTTGTCCATGTAGTTCCAGATACCTTTCATGCTCATCAAAGAAAGATGAGTAAGTCATGTCGTCATAATGCAAGCAGCATTTCCTTCATACCATTTATTACCTCCTGATCTTATTTGTCAAAGTGCATTCCCAGCTGACGTGTTAGTCAATGTCGCAAAGTTCAAGATCACGGGAACATGTTTCAGGTCCACATCCGCATGCAGAAGTACACAATAGGTTCAGCCTCTTACAGCTACATCTTCGTGTACATTGACTCTTACAGGCGCAGATATGAAGCTGAAGAAGACCTTCAGGTGCTGGAGGTCCATCAGTAAGGACAGGATTGCATACATTGTCCCACCCATGCTCATCTGGATCTGGAACAGTCGGGTTCCCCTGAAGAGACCGCTTCCAAATACCTGTTTGATAGTTTGCTCTCTTAATATGGAGCTTCAAAGTCGACTGGCATGGTGGCATATTCATACTATTCTTCTGATTCTTTAAGAACTGTAGGTATCGAAAAGTATTGACAGAACTGCTACTGCTTGATGAAGAATAACAAGATATAATGTATTGTTCACAGTTCTGCATTACCTCATCAGAAACCTCAAACGATTCTCCCAGACTTGTCAAGAGATGTTGATTCTGCTTTAAAGCCATCAAGGCTGTTCTCTTACCAATACCATAGAAGCTTGAAGTTGTATCGCAACCTGTTATTGCGTGCATTCCTGCCAGTGAGGATGCCACTGGCTGACCAAGCAGATCCACACACTTTTTGATGTCAATATATCGCTTTTTGTTGTCCGATCCAATTTCACAGAAAAACTGTCCACCAAAGTTTTTGGCAAAGACAATGCAAAGAACTAGTACTGTATCTGGACTATTAATGACCACTGTTGAGAAACCTTTATGAAAGGCGTCAGCGGCATGAAATAACATCCTGGTTTCCGCCTCTTCATGTGAACAGAACATGTGCGTTACTACCTCAGGTTCCCCAGAAACACTCAAGACCATTATCTGAGTTGCATCCAGCAACAAGAAGATCTTGTGATTCTTCTAGCTTGGGACCAAAGCATTTCCATGTCTCTGCAAGAAAGTGTGCTCGGGCAGATTTATTTTCATGGTGGGAAATGAACTTGTCCCATTGTTTGGGTACCGGAACCAAGGGTCTGATTGCTAGTTTGATACCAGTATTGTCAGTCCGCCTCTTTCGCTCATTTACTTTGATTGACTTTTCCTTGTCGTATCTGTCACATACTATGTCAATTCTTTTAGCACCAGCAGCTCTGGAAAGGAGTGCATGAAACAACTTTAATGCATATTCTTCAAAATGTTTACATGACAGTGCGATAGAGCGTGAGGCCTGGATAACAGCCATCAAGTCAAAGATTCTGCAAATTGTACCACTGATAGAGATCATCGTCGCTGATTCAACATTTTCCTCAATGACTTGCATGAGACCAGACTTTTGTGTTTTCGCATGGATCCATCTGTAAGAGCTATAGACAAGGGAATATTTGTTAACTCATATGTGAATAGTTCGGACAGAGAAAACTGTCTCATCTGTGCAACAATGACAAGCCTGCTGAAGAGTTCTCGATCACTGGTGAGTACACTGTTTCTTGAAGCTGATTTCACATGTTTCTTCCGAACATGGTCAAATGTTCTCAAATTGTTCTTCTTTATTGGATCAAAAATCCATTACCTGCAAGTAACCTTGCAACAAAGTTATCTCTCTTGGCGCTTCCAAGTTCAACAGCACGATGCAGATCGTCCTCAACCTCTGAAGGAGCTACTTCTCCAGACATCAAATTGATGAGTGTTTCACTTTCATTACTCGCAAATGGATTCACTGACTTCAGAATACAGTTTGTCACATTTCTAACATCCTCTTCATCTCTGCTCAATCGCTTTGACCCAATTTCTTTTGGTTTGCATACAGATGTGTTATTCAAGCCTGCCATAGTAGATGTCTTGGAAGAAACACTGGCTCTGTAGTTAGCTGTTTGAATCCATCGATGAACAGTTTCCTCTGACTGTGAAAATCCAATAACTCCACCTGCAGTTTTGGAATCTTTGTTCATTGTCTGTTCTAGAGCGAGATCAGTAGAAACTTGGGAAAATGGCATATCTGATCGAGCAACAACAAACTCTCCTGCCATGAACTTGTCATGCACCTCTGGTGCTTTTGTAGGCAATTCATCCATGCAAGCAAGATAGAAAGTTCCATATCTCGAATAGTTATGTCTGTCATATGCAAAGAAGTATGTCAGCATAGCTGCAAATGAAGATTTATGAAGATTCCAATTGCCTGATCTTTCAGCTCGTATGAATTGCAACAATACTTCAACCATGCAAAGGTATTCATTCCAGAAACGGAACATGCTCGATTTCTGACATTCATTTTCTCTGAACAAATCCACTGCGTTGACATATGATGGCAACCACTCACGCATTGTCTGCACAGACTGTGCAATCTTTTGACGATCATCAGATTCAAAGGCATCTCTTACGTTCTGACCATGAACCTTCCTTTCTTGCAGAAAGCCATCATCTACTAGCACTTGGTCAAGAAGGATTCTCATCATAGCTTCATACATTATTTTGTGCGCTCGCACGCTTCTGTTGTAAGCTTTCCCACTCATAATAGAGGAGATAGAACCCTCAGCAAATGAACCACTTTCAATAAGGATATCCTCAAATCCAGATGACTGAACACGCTTTCCAATAACAGCCAGAAAAGCTAGCAGAATATGAAATCCCCCGAGCCTGAGAATCAAATTTGGATATTCATTCTTGTTACTTGCACTGATTTCAACAGCCTTGGAATAAATAGCTTCATCAAGGACAAGAACTGTGTGTTTTTGTCCTATTTTCTCAGTAATTCTGCATGCCAAGTCCAGTACAGTATTAACTGCATTGAAATCTGTTGGTGAGGCATTTATTACTGGACAGTAACCAATCACAGATATCAAAGGCTTTATGTTAGAAGTAATTTGGTTAAAACCTGTCCACCCAGGAAGAACCTGCTGGTCTTCTGGAACATACAAATGCAGTTTCTTTTCTGGTAGCATTCTTGCAGTAATCCACATAAGGTCAGTTGAATCTACGTTTCCTCGTTTGTGAAGGTCTAAGACAGATCTTAAATTTGTCAATATTTGAATACAAGGTTTGTGTTTCTGTCTAAAGTATGATTTTATTGGTCTTGCTGAAATATTCTGAAGACTTCTTTCACGTCGAGATGTTTTGGACACATCATACCCAAAGCTATATGTACTTTCTGGTAGTCCTTCTCGTTGGATCACAATCATGTTTGTACAATGAGTTGTGTTTTTTCCATCAAGGATTTCTTCGGAGAGGTCATTGTTGTCCGCAGCAATTTGTGTGAATGTGCTCTTTCTTACACATGACGGTACAACAACATCATCTCTGTCAGGTTCCTGAGCAGTACCAACAGCTGTTAAAATCCTCCGAACAAACTCGTATG